AGAGTTTTATATACAAGGTCAATTATACTGTGAGAAAACATCCCAGCCCAGTTCAGATCAAGTCCATAAGTCTGATATTAGCTCATATGTTTGATACCAATCTATAAAGTCCTCTCAGCCACACAAAACACATGCAATTATGCTGAATGCAGGAAGATTACAGGCCAGTGGGTGGGAAGTCTTGTGGATCCAGTGGCATTGTTAAGCATCTCAGTACTTGCAGGGGTCTCCATATGGTTCCTCCAGCTCGGGCACTGGCTGCCATCAGCCTGTCTCCATGTAGCTTGTCAATGAGGATGGCTCACAGGGACTGTGCAGAGAGAGAGAGTGTCTCCGGTCTCCAAGGAGGAATACAGGAGTTCCCAGAATCCTCAGGAGAAAGCCATGCACACACAGAGGCCTCATTGGCTATATGACCTGTTTGACAGGCTAAATTCCTCCCCTTCACTCATAATCCTTCCAAATTGACAACAGATTATATAACTATCACATGGGTCTAAACAAAAGGTTTAGAAAACACAGGCATGCATAAATATACACATACACAGAAAATTGCTAACTAAGTAGGTCATTATGTTGACTGATTAGTCTAAGAGTATTCCATTCAGCAATTTGAAATATTTAAACAGGATTTTATAGTTTAGTACACATTAAATATCAAATTGACATTGTATTTGAAAATGTCACACTATGCCAAGAGACAAAATATTTTATTAACTATACATGGCCAGTTAAAATATATTTATAGGAAGAAATACATGATTAATGAGATTATTTTAGTTAACAGAAGAAAACGGATAAATACTGTTAAGAATACAACAGCAGTTTTTTTTTGGAATATGCCATTATGTAATGTTTCCTCCCTCCAGGGAATGTACATGTCTTTTCTTGATGGCAATGATGATATTGCCAAACTGGTCCTTCCATCCCCAGCTCACAATATGGAGCAAATCTGACCAAAAATTAGAAGGGTTTCCACAAAGATACCCTAGTGAACAATCAACCTGGAAATGTGTGAAACACAAACAAAACCAGAAACAATTCATAGGTTCTAACCCACCCATGTCAGGGAGTTCTTTTTACAGATTTAAAAAAGTTGTGCATCTAAATCTATGTTTCATACAGAAATGTTGGTGTGAGATCCGCTGGCTTAGCAGTACTATACCCATGCTAACAATAGATGTGTTGGAATGAGTCCTTGATCATTCAATGAGAACCTGATCTCCAGTGGTAGAGAGAAACAGCTGCAGTGATAACGGGAAATATTTCACTTCAGCTAAAGACCACAGTTCTTTGAATTTAAACATATTTAGATAATTGGAAAGACTTCAAGTTACTTTGTTGCAATGTCTGATTAGGGATATTAAACAACGTATGAGCATATCTCACCTCCCCAGAGATATGGGGTGGTACAGATTTGTCATTGACTATGCTATTTATGGGTTTATGTTCAAGATATAAAGTTTTATAGAAAAATGAAAACTCATATCTGAGTCTTGGCTAAGTGGAATTCCTCAACAAAGATTTTTCTTGTGTATTTTGGTTCAGAAAAGTGCTCTAAATTGAATCACAACAATACCAAATTATTGTGTAAAACATCCACACTCAGAGAATGAAAAACAGACATCATAAGAATTTTATTATGGGTGCTCATCAACAACAATACGAGCATTTTCTTAGTTAAAATTCTAGGCTTTCTTTTAGACATAAATGAAAACTAAATCTCCTTCTGAGAACTGCATTGAGAACTGTAGCAGAGCGGAGGTCCTGTGATAGGAAAGGAGCTATGACACTGGGGAGAAGGATGAACTAGTAGTCAGATGTTATCAAACATCAGAAGAGGAACTAGCAGTCAGATGTTTTCATCAAACATTAAAAGGGCTATTTGAAAGGGACAATGATAGCTAGTCTATACTTGAAAGAGGTCATATCAGTTTTTGGCAGTCCATGGTGTATTTATTTATTATTAATTTTAGCAGTTTTATGTAATTCACATATTACACACAATAATTTAAATGTATTGAAAAATTGTGTACTTATTGTTCCAATTAATTTTACAACATATTCTTTTTGATTGTACTCATTGTTATTAGCTCCACGTTTCCCCTCATTCTCCCCTATTATGGCCCTATCCAGTTACTCTTTGTATCGCTGTATCTATCCTGGATTTCTTACAAGAAAATTATACAAAACAAAACACAATCATGCAAACTCATACAAATCAAACAAACAAAACAAAACAAAGAAAAGCCCAAGCATAAATGATCAGAAAAAACAAAGGAAAAGTCCAATAAAAATGAAAGCAGAAAATATTAAAAACTGAAACAACTTTGAAATGGGTCAAGTGGGAGATCAAACGCTAAAATGCTATCTAAGTACATCGACTTTGTAATGCTGTCTGTCTGGTAGCAGGGGTATTCCCATCCTTCAACTATGGTCAGAGGGAATTCACTGGAGGCTTAATCTGTGTGTGAACCCTGCAAATGGATTTTGGTTTTCCATTGTCATTCATATCCCTCAGTAAACTGGGTGTTCATAATTTAAGCTCTGATACCATTCCTTCCTTTGGACTTATTTCTTTATTTATAATCCTTGATCACACAGGTTGGTATGCTTCTGTCATGTGGATTTAGTTGATGCCTCACTTATATGGCTCCTTGTTTGAAAACAAGCCATTAAGATTCCAGATACTGTTCTGATAACCAGGCACCATTTGGTTTCTTCGTCACAGTTTGCTATAGCACCTACAACTTCAGTGATCGATTCTTGAGGGCAAGTATCAGGCAGGGCCATGCCATAAGAACTAATTATTCTTAGATTTGGTGCTATAATTAAGTGTAAGCTCCAGATCCATTCATATATCTGTGGTTTCTATATGTCTCCATTTACTTATTCACTTTAGCGGCATCATTATTATTTTGTGATAGAGAACATTATAAATCATCCCCCTGGTGCATTAGGCAATTCTATTGATAGTGTCAATGGTATAAGATTTAAAACACTGTTGAGGAAAGGAGATTATACAAGTATAAGCTGGACTCAGACATGAATTGTTGACTGATATAAATTCAAGTGACTGGACAAACAATAGGGGTAGGTAATAGGGCAAAACTTTCAATGATACTCGTTCACAAAGGCAGAACCATGCCTAAAAGATTAACACATGTCACAAGAAGGGTATTAAAGTAGTTAATATATGGTAGTCCCAGGTCATAATTCACTGGACACCTTCAAAGCAAGGGACCCAAACTTAAGTCCAGTGACCGACAGTTCCATAATGTTGGAATAGCAGCCATCTGGTTCTTCTCACACTGGGGTGTTTTAGACTTAAGTTCTTTTGTAGGAGTATCTGTCCATATGGGGGCAACTATGACATTTTTGCAGTAAAATATTTAGGTTCTATAAAGGGAAATTAGGAAGAGTTTTCAGATGAAGACAATTCAGAGTAGTCTTGGTGGTGTGGTGGTTCAAGTACTTGAGTGCTACCCAAAACATGGATGGTTGGAACTTATGTGTGGCTCCATGGGAGAAAGATGCTGCTGTCTGTTTCCATAAAGTGTGCAGCTTTGGATATCCTGTGGGGCTCCTTATGAATATAAATGGACTCCATCAGAAACCACTCCACTGTGGTTTTGGTTTTGGTTTAGAATGAAGGGGATTTCCCCTCTCACTCACTGCCATCGAGTGGATGCAGACTCATGGTCACCCAAGAGGATGGAGTAGAACAGCCCACCCCTGTGGGTTTGTGAGGCTACACCTCTTTCTGAGAGTACAAAGCCTCCCCTTTCTCCCAAGGAGTGATTGTTGGCTTTGAATTGCTGATCTTGCAATGAGCAGCCCATCACATAATCCGCTATGCCACCAGAACAAGGTTTAAAGGAATGAGATCATCTCTGAAAGGTCAAAATATTTTAACCTTTTTAATTTCTGTTGAGTGGAGAGACCACTTTCATTTTGAGTTTTTCTCATTTTTTAGTTTTCTTTCCAATTATTTGTATTATAGTTAAAATCTTCATGTGATCTTGAACTATTTCTCTTGCCCTTTGATATAGTTAAAGTTTATTGTGCCAACCTGGCCGATAAACACATGTGGGGTTAATTGAAGGGCAGAGAGACAAATGGCTCTGTGAACCTCACCTTTCTAGTTCTCAGGTCTCTTGCTTTCTGATGGTCAGACCAGGGTGCAGCTGCCTTAGTCAGTTCTCTGCTTCAACTGCCAAGGTTCACTTCCTGCAAGACATCCCCAAGGAGAAGCCGCATGGACCTACCCCGATGCAGCCCTGGGTGCTGGAGCAGCCGTGCGGAGACCCCTGCCAGAGCTGAGATGCTTACACATTCACTGACTCGGCTTTCCTCCTGCAGTCAGAATCATTGCGTGTGATATGTGAGATGGAGGAGGACTTTGTGGATTGGTGTCAGACATATGGGTTAATGTTGAACTTGTGGGCTTGGGCAGCACTGGGTTGGGATGTTTTCTTGATGTGCACTTACCCTTTACATAAAGCTCTCTCTTATACATAGGAGTTTCTGTGGATTTGTTTCTCTAATGAACCCAGACTAACACACCTTTATTTCAGTTTTCTCTAATTTCCTCATCTATAGCTTTCTCTTCACAGCCCTCTGGATTTCTACTATGTTAGGCTTTTGTTTTGCCTTGCTCTTGATGTCCTTCTATTTAATAATATTTTGTGTAATTGTGTATTAATTTTTATAGTTTTCTTTAAAAATCTTTTATTGTGTAACAATTAAAACATTGTATTTTTTTCTCACAAATCAGTGCTGTCATTTGAAAAGATACTGTTTAAAATTAACCAATTCAGAAGAATTTTATTATAGGAATATAGTAAAGAATAAAATAAAAGCTGGGTAGATTTCAAAGTATTATTTAATTTTTTATTGAGAAGAGGAAATAGAGCTTGGTTATAAAGGTAATCATGTTTAATAAGTATATTATGATGTTCACAGATGCAAAGACATTTCCTTTGATGCTTTTCCTAGTTTCATTTCACTTTATGCTTAAGGGCTTCTTGATAGTCTGACATGACAACTGGTGTTGGAATTGGTAACAGCACCCACCAGATTCGACAGCACTTCCACCTTCTTCGGCAGCCACCAATCTCATCCTCGACTGATCTGCAGATGTCTCTTCTGCAAGTGCCCGACAGGTTGAGACAGTGGTTTTCAGAAGCACCCAATCCACTTCTTACTGTAGAATAGAGTCACGTAGGTAATTAGTCCATTCACATAGGGTAAAAGTATAAAAACTCGTAATGTGAGAGCCATGAAGTTCAGGTTTCAGCATTTCCAGAAACTGGACAAAGGCTGTATTCAAGTGTACTCTCACTCTGACATTCAGTTACTTTCTGTTTTCCCAGTAGCTAACGCGGTAGGTGACCCAGCCCTTCATCTCTTCTACATTCTTGGCACGGCTAATTGAGACTCAAAAATACCTTGTACAAATTATAAAGTGAAACATATCTCTTTTACAAATATTTTTTGTGTCTTTTTACCAATCAATCTCTTCTTGTACTAGCAACAGAAAAATGAAAATGGTACAAATATTTAGGGTTCTCACAGAAGTTATATGCAGGGAAGTAAATATGACAAAATAAATAGATAATTTAAAAAAGTTATAAGTGCCTAGAACACAGTAATACGAACATGGATCAGATATCAACTGGCAATGAAGTTGAGAAGACAGACAGAGGAAGGCTGGGGACCTAGGATTTGAGCTGAGGTCTGATAATGCGAATGTGATAGACGCAGAACTCTTTGGTTGAGAGCATTACAGATATCTAGAAGGGAAAGAATCATGTCTCTTAATTTATTTAAAGATCAGAAGGAAGAACTGTATGGATAGAATATATTGGAAATGACACACTTTGATAAAAAATGAGGTGACATAAGAAAACAGCATCAGTATTATGTATCACTTACAGGCCATGGAACAAAGAAATGCAGCTATCACTAGTATTGGAGGAAGCATATGAATCCCTCTTGCCCCCCATACAATCAGAGAAGCAACAGAATGCTTGCTGGTGGTAATAAGCCAGTAGCAAGAAGGAAGCTGAAAATACAAGCGTGGAAGGAAGAATTGCTGCAGACGCGGTATGGAGATTCTTGAGTACATAGATGGGCCAACATCTTGTGCACACATCCTTTATTAATCTTCTTCCTTCTCTGGAGCATCTGTTCTGAAGTTGACCAATTCATCTCTTAGATGGTTATTTTAGTCTTGTTCTCATTTTTAACAATCAACATCTCCAAATATTTATAAATTTTATGCTTCTTTAAAACATAAATATATATATTTTTGTTGTTGAGATTACACACAGCAAAATATACACCAATTCGACAGTTTCTTTTTCTTTTCTTTTTAACAATTTCTCATGAGTACAATTAGTCAACCGTTTCACTCTCCTTATACGAGTTGCTCCTTCTCCATTAACCTTTCAGTGCCTTCTAAGGTTCCTGTTTTCAAGTTCACGTTGCTATACTGTATTTGAGCTTATATTACAGTATCTTATTTTATTTTCTAAGAAGCCCTAGTGGTATAACGGTGAAATACTAGATAGTTAACCAAAGACTCATCATTTTGAGCCCACTAACTATGTGGAAAACAAGACACAGGGATTTGCTCCTGTGAAGATTTCAGCCGCGTGCACGGTCTGGGCAGTTCTCGTCTGTCTTGAAGGCTCACTGTGAGCAGAATTACTCTACAGCACGCAACAGCAGCAGTTTGTTACCCTTGGTCTTTGTTTCACGTTTTCTCTCTCTATCGCTTTTTAAAAAGACATTTTACAACATCACATATTTTTCCATTAGTTGGAAAAGTAAACTCTCTTCTATAATTTTACTGGTTTTCACAGAATTAAAATGTAGGCACTCTGATGGTGTAGTGGTTACGCATCAGGCTGCCTCTAGCAAGATCAGCAGTTTCAAACCACCACTGCTCAGCAGGAGAAACACGAGGCTCTCTAGTGCCCTGACGCGTTCATCTCAGAAGCCCCCAAGGGCAGTTCTACTCTGTCCTATAGGGTCATTATGAGTTGGAATTAACTAGAGGGCAGTAAGTTGAGTTTGAACATTGATCAAAGTCTAAAATTAATAAAAACATTTACTCAAATAATACAATGACCTTAGGTCTTTGTAACAACTATTAATCTTGCTCAGTAAACTGCTTTTGTTCTCAAGTATTTTAATTTTACATATGTAATTTTAATCTCATTATCAAATACTCTTGGTCCAATTTTAAGTTTTTCACACATGTATTGAAAATAGTTTGGTCTCACCTAGTAAAGCTGAGGATTCATATCAGATGAATTAAAAATACAAGACCTGCTCAAGTAGAAAGCAAATGTTTTGAGAATGATGAGGGCAACAAATGTACAAATGTGCTTGACACAATGGATGTATGTATGGATTATGATAAGAGTTGTATGAGCCCCCAATAAAATGATTTAAAAAACAAAACAAAAATAAGACCTGGAGGAATCAGGACATATATACAAGAATTTTTAATACAGTATAAATAATACAGTAGTATTACAGTAAAAAAATACAGTAGTATTATTTATAATACCCAATAACTAGAAAAAAAAATTTTTTCATCAACACTGTAAAAAGCTATTTAATCCATTTTATATCATCTATAAAAAAGAGCAGTCAAAGCCTTTCCTTTCTAGTTATTATACTTAAATATCGTTTTCTTATTTTAATGGATTTTTTATTATCTCCTATGATCACTCAGGATTTCATTTTACATCAGTAGTCCATTATTTATTTAAATGTATTTCTATTGGTGGAAATAAATGAGATGACTTTTAATTTTTTGTCTTACTGAACAAAAATGTGATGACTTGCTGTGGTGATTAATATTGTACACATCATGTACGTATATTTTCTGAATATATATATATATATATCTTTTCTAAAGTGAGATTTCCGAGTTTCAGGGTACAAAAGTAAATATCCTCCTACCTAACATATATTTTCCTAATGTATGTGGCCCTGCTGATGTCAGTAAGTCTCTCATGATTCACAAATTATTTACATTCTATGTGTACAGAATTAATAATCAGTCCCTGAAATCCTGATATATTGTTTTCAGGTATATGCATTTACACTTAAATTGTAAAATTATGTGGTGCTTCTATGGCTTTAACTATCTTTTATGGAAATGGTGAGTTTGAACCTGAGAAACTTTAATGACCCTCTCTTTTTAAAAAAAAATCATTTTATTGGGGGCGCATACAGCTCTTATCACAATCCATACATCCATTCATTGTGTCAAGCACATTTGTACATTTGTTGCCCTCATCATTCTCAAAACATTTGCTTTCTACTTTAGCCCTTGGTATCAGCTCCTCATTTTTTCCCCTCCTACCCGGCCCCCCTCCCCCATGAACCCTTGATAATTTATAAATTATGATTATTTTGTTATGTCTTAAATTGTAATGATCCTTTTAGCACTAAGTATATATGACCCTACACTATTATCTCTTATATATTGTATTCATTTGCTCAACCTTAATAATTTTCTTCCTTTTAAACTTCTGCATCTGTATTCTAGTTGTCGCATTTTTATGGAACTAGATTTATGTCTTGGTACTTTTCTAGAATGTGCAACATTACTTGATCTTTTCTCTTTGGGAAGTGGAGTCCTCTCTGATCTAGGGCTTTTATATAGGGTAATGCAGGAGCTAGTTTGGTCAGGGCAGTTCCAGTTCACTCCTATTGTACTGGTGAAGGTATAATAGCACTCCCTTCATTTCCAAAAGTGATAACTTTAGGTCAGAAGTATGTGTTCATCCTACTTTTACAACTCAGGACACACGTCTCCAATAATGAGTGTTGCATGCTGTTTTTCAGTGCTAAACTAGATCTCTTCAGAAGCCAAGTGAATAGATGACTGGATTCACCAAGGCACTGTGTCTTTCTCTCTTTTAGCGCTAATTCCTGCTGATAGAATTTTGTCCATCTCTTCTTGTGACCTAGTGAGTAGATATAAGGGTACATGCCACTGCTATTTAATCTTGATACATCTACTTGAAAATAAGCTTCCATGTTTCCCAAAGGCATTCAAAGATACAATGTGAGACTAGAGCAGACTATGGCTACAATAGACTGTTCGAGTAATGACATTGGAATTCTGGGAGCACATGATCTTCTTATCCTAGTCTACTCCATCACAATCCTAGTGAAGTTGTTGCTAATGGATTTCTGAAATCAATGATGGATTCTAGGAGCTTTCCTGATCTGCCCTCTAGTACTCTAAACTGAAGATCCCCTATAAGCAACCTTCACCTTACCTGATGGTAAGAAAGTCAGAAAGAGGAGAGCCAAGAGAAGCAAATGGAGTTGCCTGGCTGAAGGACCAGTGAAGAGAAGAGGTCTCAACATGGTTGGATCCTGCAGACTCCATGCCTGGCAGGTCTAGGCCCTTTTATGAAGCTCCCTGGCTTGCGGTTTGTTTTTGTTTAGTAGAGCCTAACCAGAAGAGAATAGCTCAATCTCAAACAGGAAATTTTTAGGGACAATAGCACATCAATGTGCCAACTCAATGGATGAGAAGGCAGGAGGTGGATTCTTTCCTTTTCCCAAAGACTCAGGATTTCCCAACTGTCAGCTATTTTCTACACCATTGCCTAAGCTGTTTTCCAAATACACATACACCGGTAGATCACACTTTATACATTTATTGTGTATTAAGCAATGCAGTAGGGACTAAGGATCATATAGGTTTCCAGCCCCAAGTCATTCACAACCCTAGAGTGAATGACAGATATTTAAAGGTTACATACAATAATATACTATATATAATGGACACAAGTATCCAAAAGAAAAAGTGGTTATTTTACTGTCTATTTTGACCAAAGTATTACACATGGGGATAGGAAGCAACTACAAATGCTATCTCCAGGTGCCATAGAACCACAAGGGAAGAAAGCAAATAAAATATTATTTAGAAGTTTTGCTTGTTTATTTGTTTTGCCTCATTGATTCAGAGCACTGGATGATGGCTCATGATCATTTCCCTCTGAGGCACAATTGCCAGGAGGGGACTGCTTTCCACCATTCCTTTGGATTTGGAGGACTCATAGCTAGTCAGTTCTTTTTGTTCTGTGGAAAATGGAAATTAAATTATGTCTCAGATTCTCAAGGTTGAGAATTAGACATACATCACCTGGATTGTGCCTCAAAAATAGTTTTTTGGATTCTCTATAGCTTTAATGTTCACCTACTTGATCTATTAAGTGAAACATGTGTAGCGTACATTACTCTTTCCTAATTTATGCATTACTAACTAGACTGTTGTAACTTGTAGATGTATAGGATGATAGACGTAGTATCAGCAACAGTAGAAATGCAAGAGAAGCTATAGAAATTCTAATAATTATAGCAACCACAATGTAGTCAATTTGAACAGAGCATTTTCACAAAAGATGGGTTAAAAGTGGATTTGTTTTACAGATATTGAAGGGCCCAAAGGGAATACTGAGATAGTCTTGAGGAAACCATAAGAATAACTCCTGTATATCACCAAGAGAAAAAAATGAAAGCACTGACCTACTTGAAGGAGGGGTCTGAGTTAGTTAAAGTTTATTGTGCCAACCTGCCTGATAAACACATGTAGGGCTAATTGAAAGGCTGAGAGATAAATGGCTCGGTGAGCCTCGCCTTTCCAGTTCTCCGTCTCTTGCTTTGTGATGGTTGAATCAGGGTGCAGCTGCCTTAGCCAGTTCCCTGCTTCAACTGGCAAGGCTCACTTCCTGCAAGACATCCCCAAGGAGAAGCCACATGGATCTAACCTGATGCAGCCTTGGGTGCTGGAGCAGGCGTGTGGAGACCCTTGCCAGCTCTGAGATGCTTACACGTTCACTGATTCAGCTTTCTTCCTGCAGTTGGCATCTTTGCGTCTGTTTTATGAGATGGAGGAGGACTTTGTGGATTGGTGTTGGACATATAGGTTAATGTTGGACTTGTGGGCTTGGGCAGCACTGGCTTGGGATGTTTTCTTGATGTGCACTTAAGCTTTATATAAAACTCTCTCTTGTACATGAGTTTCTGTGGATTTGTTTCTCTAATGTACTCAGACTAATACAGGGTCCTAGGTTCTTAGGCCTCTGAGGAAGATATGCAGGGATATTGCTGTTGACATCTCAGAGATTCCATGGAAAAAACTTGTAGAGTTGGTCCTCAACCTATGAAACAGAGGTAACAGCTAGCTGTTGCTGGTATCTGTGTAAGGCATGATGAGATTTTTTTTTGGATATAAAATTCACATATCATACAGTTCAATAGTTTAAACATTTAAAAATAGTTGGGCAAACATTACTACAAATTTAGTACATTTTCTTCATTCTTGTACTCATTATTAGTAGCTCTCTATTTCCCTTCCACCTCTTCTGTTAAAACTCCAAGAAACTATTAATTCAGTTATTGTCTCTATAGATTTATCTATTCTGGGTTTCATATATGGAAAACCATGCAAAATCAAAATCAAAAAACTAAAACAAACAAATAACCCCCCTCTCCCACAAAACCCAATAACAATAGCAAAATAAAATATAGAAAATCCTCAATCAAAAAAGACAGAAGATATTAAAAATTAGAACAGTTATAAAATGAGTCAAAAAGAGATAAAATGCTAAGGCATTAAATTTTAATGTAAGTATATCTGCCATAATCAACTTTACAATGCCATCTTTCAGATAGCAAGGCTACTTCCATCCCTAGTCTATGGTGAGAGGAAACTCACCAGAGGCTTAATCCAAGTGAGGAGCCTGCAAATGGATTTGGGGCTTTCATTGCCGGTCATAGCTTTCTGCAAACTGAGTGTTCAGAATTTAAACTCTGATACTATTCCATCCTCTGAAATGGGATTTTATTATTTACAATCCTAGGATCACACAAGGTGGTGTGCTTCTTCCATGTGGACTTAGTTTACATTTCACTTCGATGGCTGCTTGTTTTAAGACAAACCTGTAAGACTCCAGACACTATTCTTTCTGATATCTGGGTACCACACTTTGTTATAGGGCCTATATTTTCAGTGATTTCTTCATGATGATGATTATAAAGTTGGGCCATGTCATAAGAACTAATTGTTCTTAGATTGGGGCTATGATTAAGTGTAGGCCCAAAATTAATTGACCATTTTTGACCTCGTTTCTATCCAGCCCTTGGTGATCCAGGCCAAGTGATACTGACAGCCAGGATTATCTCAAGGTGCACAACATTCTTCACAGGCTCCATGAGCAAGCTCTGATTTTGAAATCTCACTAAGTGAACTGAACTATACCTTAAACTCATCTGTATCATATTTAAGGAACCGAGATATGCCTTTGGACTTCATGCTGACATGTCCTAGTTTGTGATGAATCAGATGACTGCTATCCCAAGATTATAGATTTGGAAGTTGTTGGATTTTGGTTCAGATCTGTTGCTTTGAGTTGCTCAATGAATGATGACTTGGGACTGCCACATATTTTCTATGGTCATGGTCTTTTTGCTTTTTGACATGGCTTTGTCTAGCAGGCATGGCTCTGCCTTTGTGAATGAGCATTATTGAAAGTTTTGCTCTATGTCCAACCCTCATTATTTGTGTAAATAGTGTCTAGTTACTTGATATTTTGATCTATGCAGGTCAACAATTCAAGTATTTTGGCCTATAAAGCTTTCCTATACATGTATACATCCCTTTTCTAAATATTATTTGAAATTCTATAACATTGACTAAATTAATGACCCTATCAGTAAAATTAAAATATGCCCCAAGGGGATGCTTTATAATATCATTTAGTAAAAGGATAATGATGACTTTAAAAATCAGGGACATAAATAAGCCATAGATACATGAATGGATTTTGAGCACCAATCTAAGAACAATTAGTTCTCATGACATAGCCCTACTTGATATTTGCCCTCAGGAAGAGGTCACTGATGATATGGGTGTAGTCACAAAGTGTGCTGAAGAGACCAGGTGGTGCTCAGCTATAAGAAAGATTAGTGTCTGGGGTTCACCTAAATGAGGTTTCAACTAAGTCCACAAAGAAAAAGCACACTTCCCTGTGTGATCCAAGGATTGGAAATAATAAAATCCTAGATCAGAGAAGGGAAAGGTATTAGAGCTTAAATTCTGAGCACTCTGTTTGCAGAAGGCTATGAGTGACAGGGAAAGCCCCAAATCCATTTTCAGGGCCCCCACTTGGATTAAATCTTTGGTGAATAATTACCTGGGGCATGGCAAAGAAGGTTGAGAGAAAATGGGCAATTAACAACAATGAGCACAAGAGAGAATAAAGTGTTCTAGAATTGATTGTGGTGATGATAGCAATCACAACTCTTCTTAATATGATTGAATGATTAAGTCAAATGCTATGTGAAGTATAGACCCCAACCAAAACAAAACCAAATAACATATTGCTGAGAACAAGGTGGGGGGGGGGCGTTCATAGCAGAGTCCGCAAACCCATCTGTAGACAATGGGACATCCCCTCACAGAAGGATCACAAAGAAGGGATGAGTTAACCAAGGTACAGTTTAGCACCGATGAAACACACAAAATTCCTCTGGTTCCTTGAGGCTTCCTCAACCCCCACTGTCATGACCCCAGTCCTTCCTTTCACTGCAGGCTAGACTGGAGCATGTACACAGGTACAGATAAGAGCTCACAACACATGGAATTCAGGAACAGGAATGGGAGTAGCAATACTGGAGGGTAGGGGGAAGGTGGGGAAAGAGGAAAGGAAGGGGGAACCAATCGCAATGATCGACACATGACCCCTCCACCCCTGCAGGGGGACAAACAACAGAAACCACGGATGAAGGGAAACAGCAGTTGACGTAAGATATGAAAATTATGATAATTTATAAATTTATCAAGGGATCATAAGGGTGGAAGGGTAGGAGGGAGGGAAAAAAGAGGAGCTGATACCAAGGGCTCAAATAGAAAGTAAATGTTTAAAAAATAATGATGGCAACATATGTACAAATATGCTTTATAAAATTGATGTATGGATTATTGTAAGAGCTCTCAATAAAATGATCTTTTAATTAAAAAGTGTCCAATTAGAAACATAATGCTAGAAACATTTTCCCCTTAGGAGTCTAAGTAATGTTAAATGTTTTTTCCAAATGGCAGTGTGCCCTATCTGGTTTACCCACCAACAAAGGTATAACCACTTTCTCAAGGAGAGAACTCTTCATCACCCTCCCCATTATCTCTGGACTTGAATTTTTATTAAGCTTCACAGACCGTCCTTGTAGGTGTGTGTCTATTGATGTGGGGTGACCTAAGAACAATGTTATACAGCAGGAAGTAAAGGTCTTCTCCTTCCCTCACAACAGGAGAATGGACCCCAGCTGAGGTGAGGTCTCCGCTGTCCAAGCGGTCAGTA